TCCATCCCTCCCAAACACACAACTCGCATATGAACAGACGCAATCCTCACTAACTTGCAGTATTCGTACGTACCAATTTCATCGAAAAGAAATCGCAGAGAATGGCGAAGCGTTCTTCCTTCATGCGGTCCCGTTCAGCGAAGCTACTCGACACGTAAAATATTTTCTTGTTGATTTTTTTGTAGACGTCTGCGCTTGAATCCTGAAGTAGAACATAACAAAACCAGGAGGGATCACTGTTCATATTTCAATATCACTGTAATTGCTATTGCTATTACTGATAGCACTGCCATTAACTAAATACAATAGCATCGAACATCTACTGAGAGAGAGAGAGAGAGAGAGAGAGAGAGAGAGAGAGAGAGAGAGAGAGAGAGAGAGAAGAGAGAGAGAGAGAGAGAGAGAAGAGAGAGAGAGAGAGAGAGAGAGAGAGAGAGAGAGAGAGAGAGAGAGAGAGAGAGAGAGAGAGAGAGAGAGAGAGAGAGAGAGAGAGAGAGAGAGAGAGCATTGTACGTGTTTGTGTGAAATAAGGTGAATCTGACTTTACATATAAAAGTACAATACACACTACAAGAATTCGTCACTCTAGGTCTTAAAATGATAATTAAAAATCATATTACCTGTTTGATTGTGTGAGATTTAGTTAGATTATACTGAACCACAGTGGCTTTAATCACGATTGATAGTAATTAGTGAGTGACTTACACTGTTTAGCAACCAAATTGGTCATTGAAGTGAAAAGCATTCCTTCGACCTATTATTCAGAGGTACGGTCAGATTACCTATAGATTCGTAAAATCCAGCGATTTTTTTATGGAATTTACCCATCGATTGACTCAATATACGTTGAGAGACTAGGTTATGTAAGGTATGTATATATCTTCATTTCAAAGCATTAATATTATATATTTTAAATTATTCGGAATTATTCATATTTAGTGTTACATCAATATTTACATTTAAATCTAAGCTAGAATACGCATAAATAGTTTAAAAAAAAAAGTCATTGAATGTAAAAAAAGAAAGAAAGAAAAAAAAAAAAACGCGTAGCCACCCACTTCAAGTTGAAACCGCGGATCCTGTAAATATTCGAAATGTGGAATTCTGAAGCAATTTACTCCCTCTCAGAAAAGGTTAGAACTCCGTAAACATGAAAGAATAACAAGAGTTAGGGAGAAGATTGCGAGATCCAAGGCGAGTTTCTGTGGTCACGATTTGTTTTGATCCCGCGATTCCGCTGAACAAAGCCGATGGTTCTGTTCGCAGTGTGAACACCACGGGTGAGTGGGTTGGTTCCAACCCACAGAAAATCGCTGGATTCCGGTGAAATTTATAGGTGGTCTGACCTAACCCAATGGCTTCATTAGGAACACCCGCGTTGCCTCGTTTGTGATATCAGGGGCATTTAACCGGCAACAGACCTCGTTAGCGTCCATCTCTTCTCTTCGACGGCAATTTTTTTTTTAACTCTCTCTTTGCTCTCTTGGGTGTCCACAGTTGTTGCCACGTTTCCAATTTAAGTAACACGAGAGAGTCAGACAACGTACCCGTTTTATTTACTTAGAATACATAGCAAGAGAAAAAATACAACACCTAATATACTCACATCGAGGAGCTGGTGGATCGAAGTGCCATGCTCCACCGACCAAGGGATCTTGCCGTAGTCTAAGAGGTCCTGCAAGGAATCCACGGGCACCTCCACCTTCGGCACCGCCAGGAGGGAAGTCAGGATGCTCTGGTAGGCCGAGGAGAGGATGAGGGAGACCACCATCCACGTGCCAGCAACACACCCGGCTGTGAGGACGTCNTCGCGCGCCTCAGTACCTGCAACGTACGCCACAATAAACTTTTTTTTTTTTTTTTGAGTTGCTTTGTTCGCTATTTCTCCATCCACCCTTTGCCGATATACTCGAAGGAGAGAGAGAGAAAAAAAATAATATTGTACGCAAAAGTCTGGGTTCGAATATTTATTTTTTTTGTGTGTAATTTATCCACCTTAGTTTTATTTGTAATATGAAGGGAAGGCATTGTATTTTGACTTCAAAGTATATAAACTATTAACTTCAAAACCAAAACCAACTTTCGAACTTTGAGCCAAACAAACATCTTGTGATTTGTCTATCTAAGCTTTGGTGCAACAGGAAGGAAAAATTTATTTATATACAATAGTTTTTTTTTTTTTCCAAGTCAGGGCTAGTATATCCACCTATGTTAACACAGGGACGAAAGATGTTTGACTAAATTGCTTTTTTTTTATTATTTATCCGTCAGAAGACTAGCTGATAATACTGTTTTAACTCTAATTAAAAAAAATAATTATATTTGGTTAGGTATTCTCCATATAACAAATGCATAACCTGGTCGCTAGATATATGAGGGTGTGCGTATATATTTTGTTGATTTTAGCTTTCATCTATAACGTAATCATCGATATCTTCATTCTAATGCACTGCAATCATGAGCTAGAATGCATTAACGTGAATAAATCGACGCCCATATTATAGATGACGGTTTAAATTGACAAAAACATTTAATAAACATGCCAGACATTTGATCCAAAACCCCTTTAAGACAAACAAACCTTCATATAATGCATATCAAATACCCTTCACATCCAGACGATATTCCACATCTCTTAACCAAACCCATTCTTCCTTTACACCCAAAATGAAAATAATTATGAAGACCAACAAACGGAAACGAGTGAGAGAGTGGACCGGCTCGGCGCATGACACGGAGCTAACCTCACAACGTTATCTGCTGAGAGGTTATATATATTCTCGAGTTATGTTATATTATTGGTTTCGTCCTCCTGCCTCGCCAGCCAAAAGCGAAAGGGATTACCTGTGATCTCGAAGCATGACCGGTTCAGATCCTGCCCTCAGATTATTCAAATTCTCTGCGTGCACATAAGTTGGCATACTTTAGGCTGAATTTGTAAGAGTGTGTGTAGGTATGCGAGTACATGCATTTATGTACATACATTTGTGTACGCACACGTCAAGATAACTCCTGGATATAGTCAGAGAAGGAAGAAACGAGAAATGGAGGAAAAGAGAGAGATTGTGGGGTGACATAGGAGATAAACTTGTCTATCTATCTATACATATAACACACACACACACACACACACACACACACACACACACACACATATATATATATATATATATATAATATATATATAATATATATATATATATATGTGTGTGTGTGTGGTGTGTGTGTGTGTGGTGTGTGGTGTGTATATATTATATATATATATATATATATATATAGAGAAGAGAGAGAGAGAGAGAGAGAAGAGAGAGAGAGGGAAGGGAGGGAGGGAGAGGAGGGAAGAGAGAGAGAGAAGAGAGAGAGAGAGAGAGAGAGAGAGAGAGAGAGAGAGAGAGAGAGAGAGAGAGAGAGAGAGAGAGAGAAAGTGAAAACCAAAAGTCCTTCAACTTCATACCGTACGATCATCCCTGGAAAAAAAATATCACGTTTTCTCTTTGCTTCTTCAGAAAACAAAATAAAACAACCCATCTACAAAACAAAAAAACGAAAACGTAAACAACAACTCGTGAACCTCGAAAATTGAAAGAGACAGGAATACCACCTTTTCGAAAACAAGACAGCTTGCCAAGCTAACCCGAGATCATAATGACCAGTTTCAATACAGCTGTCGTGAATTATGAGTATAATTCATCTTAAACCTCTAATTATTTTTTCACGCTAAATTGCCAGGTTCCTACACACTCACGAGGTATGCTCTGTAAATGTTTGAGAGCGAATATGTCCTTATATGGTCTGTGATGCTTCGGCTGGTGTTTCGAACGCGAGGAGGTCGAATGCGAAAATGTCTCGAAATGTCATGGTAAAGTGTATTCCTCATACTTCTAATTATTTTTTCACGTTAAGTTAAAAAGTTTATAGACAACTCCGGAGATAGTCTGTAAGTATTTGAATGTAAATTTCTATATTTGTTTTTCGATGCATCAATTGCCGCTTCGAATGCAGAGTTTCGAAGCAATAGTGTTTAAAGACGTATGGAAATGTCTCGGAATGTTATGATAAAGTGTATTAGTTATATCTAGTACCTAGAAGTTTGATTTATTTGTTTATTTACTTATTAATATATATATTTTTGAAATATGCCTCTATGATGTGAAATCTATAAATGCTTATACAGTATGGTCATAATCCCTTTCTTTTTTCTGTCTATGTGTGTCTCTTCTCTCTCTGTGTCAGTCTGTTTGAAAACGCCCTTCTTTCTGTGTCTTTCTGTTTGTCAGTCTCTCTCACCTCCCTCTGTTTGTCTCTCCCCTTCTCCCACTTTCTTTCTCTATCCCTGTTATTTGCTTAATTTCTCTCTCCCTCTATTTGTTTTATTTCTCGTCTTTGTAACCCCCTCTCTCGTTCTCTTTCTCTCTTCCGCCTTCCCACCCGCTTTCCATTTTCTCTCTCTCTCTCCCTTCCCTCTCACCCACTCTATCTCCTCCTTCTTTTCTTTTATTTATTTCCCTTCCTCTCCCCTTCCACCACCCCACATCCCCTCTCAACCATCCCCCTCCCTCCCTGTCTCTCTCCCCACCCGTCCCTTTCTCTCTCCTCCGCTCTCCCCAACCTCCCTTTCTCCACTCTCCCCCCTCCGCAGCTCCTCTCTTTCCTCGCCCACCTCCCTTCCCCCTCACCCCTCCCACCCTCCCCCTTCCCTTCCCACCTTTAGCTCCGGCACCCACCACGAGCCCCCAAAACACGCCGGAAATTAGCATAGGGGAGGAGGCGTGAGGGGCCCTGGGATCCTCCTCCACTCCACACCTCCATTACGGCTAGGACCGATCATGACTTGTAGCTGGGTATTTGTGTCTGGCCGGTGGGTTCTGGGTGTGTGTGTGTGTGGCGGCCTTTTGTGTGTGTGTGGTGTGGTGGGTCTCGGGTGTGTGTGTGTGTGTGGCGCCGCCTGTCTGTGTCCCTGTGTATGGTTGGGCGGTACTTGGTATGGCGCCGGTGGGTTTGCGTGTGTTGTGTGGGCGCGGCGAGTGTGACCTTTTGGTGTGTGTGTGTGTGTGGGATGTGTGGTGTGTGTGTGGCGTGTGCTGTCGTGTGGTGTGTGTGTTGGTCGTGTGTGTGTGTGTGTTGTGTGTGTGTTGTGTTGTGAGTGTGTGTGAGTGTGGGTTGTTTTGGTGTGTGTGAGTGGGGTGTTGTGTTAGTGTCGAGTTGTGGTGCGTGTGTGTGTGTGTGTGTGTGTTGGTGTGTGTGTGTGTTGTGTGGTGTGTGTGTGTGTGTGTGTGTGTGTGTGTGTGTGTGCTGTATGCGTGCGTGTGTATGTGTGTATTTGTGTTTAGGTCTGTGTATGCATACTAATGTGGTTACACCAAACATACAAGGCCACACATACAGAAATACTCAAATATCTGAATACATGTGCGTGTATACGAATCACCCTCTTTCATGTACGTTTATGCACGCGCCTGTGTGTTTGTGTGTGTGCGTTAGTGATCGTTTTTCCCCGAAGAGGAGATCGCCTTCTGTAGGCCTACTCAAATGTAAACACAACACCCCCTCCTTCCCCTTCCCTCCTCCCCTCCCCCTTCCCCTTCCCCCTTCTCCCCCTCTCCCTTCCCTTCCACCCCCTCCCCCCTCCTCCCCCTTCTCCTTCCCCTCCCCCTCCCCCCTTCCCCCACCCCCCTTAAAATGCCACCTCGAGACGGCGTCCGAATCTTTAGACCTGATCCCCTAATCTTCTTAATCTTAATCTCTCTTCTTTCTGCGCCACCGATCGGAACAACTTTTCGTCTCTGCTCTTTTTTTTCTTGTTCGTAGGACCTCGGAAGGAGGGAGAAGGAGAAGGAGGAAGGAGGATGAGATGGGATAGGAGAAAAGAAGGAGAGGAGGAGGAGGAGGATAATGATGGGAATAGGAAGGGGAAGGAGGAAGGATAATGAAGACGGTGAATAGAGGAAAAAAAAGAAGGAAGAATAGGAAGGAAGTATGGAAGAAACAGGAGGAAAATAGAGAAAGGCACAAAAAAGAGAGTCATAAAATGACACTTTTCTTTCCCTGATTTGTTTTTTTTAACAAATTATTAAACCTCCCCCTCTAAAAAAAAAAAAAAAAAAAAAAAAAAAAAAAAAAAAAAAAAAAAAAAAATGGCTTTATCCCTGATTTTGACGAATAGAATATTTTTCTTTCTTTTCATTTATTGCAAGAAAAGAAAAAGTCGCAGAAAGCAGGGTTCAAAAGAAAAGAAAAAAAGAGAGATAGAAAAGAAGAGAAAAGAAAATAGAAATGAAGAGAAAGATAATTAAAAATGAAAAAGAGAAATATAGAGATGAGAAATAGAATTAGAAAAGAAAAGAAAAGAGAATTAGAAAAGAAAAGAAAAGAAAAGAGAGACAGAAAATAAAATAAAAGAGAATTAGAAAAGAAAAGAAAATACAGATAGAAAAAATAAAAGAGACTTAGAAATGAAAAGAAAAGAAAGATAGAAACGAAACTAAAAGAGAATTAAAAAATAAAATGAAAGCGAATTAGAAAAGAAAAGAAAAGAGAGGAAATAAAAATAAAAGAGAATTAAAAAAGAAAAGAAAAAAGAGAGAAACGAAACTAAAAGAGAATTAGAAATGAAAAGAAAGAGAGACAAAAAAAAAAAACAAAAACAAAAGAAAAAAGAAAAGAAAAGAAGAAACAAAACACAAACGGAAGACTTTCCTCTCACTTTCCTCTTCCCTCAACTTTCCTCAACCTCGACCTCACCCTAGGGAGTCACCCTAAGTATCTCTCTCTCCT